CATTGTGGTTTTGATTTGCATTTCTCTGATAATGAATGATGTTGAGCATCTTTTCATGTGTTTGTTAGCCATCTGTATGTCTTCCTTGGAGAAATGTCTGTTCAGTTCTTTGGCCCATTTCTTGATTGGGTCATTTATTTTTCTGGAGTTGAGCTGGAGGAGTTGCTTGTATATTTTTGAGATTAATCCTTTGTCTGTTGCTTCATTTGCTATTATTTTCTCCCAATCTGAGGGCTGTCTTTTCACCTTGCTTATAGTTTCCTTTGTTGTGCAAAAGCTTTTAAGTTTCATTAGGTCCCATTTGTTTATTTTTGCTTTTATTTCTAAAATTCTGGGATGTGGGTCATAGAGGATCCTGCTGTGATTTATGTCGGAGAGTGTTTTGCCTATGTTCTCCTCTAGGAGTTTTATAGTTTCTGGTCTTACATTTAGATCTTTAATCCATTTTGAGTTTATTTTTGTGTATCAATAATTACCTTGAATGTAAATGGGTTGAATGCCCCAACCAAAAGACAAAGGCTGGCTGAATGGATAAAAAAGCAAGACCCCTATATATGCTGTCTACAAGAGACCCACCTCAAAGCAAGGGACACATACAGACTAAAAGTGAAGGGCTGGAAAAAAATATTCCACGCAAACGGAGACCAAAAGAAAGCAGGAGTTGCAATACTCATATCAGATAAAATAGACTTTCAAATAAAGACTGTGAAAAGAGACAAAGATGGACACTACATAATGATCAAAGGATCAATCCAAGAAGAAGATATAACAATTATAAATATGTATGCACCCAACATAGGAGCACCGCAATATGTAAGGCAAATGCTAACGAGTATGAAAGAGGAAATTAATAGTAACACAATAATAGTAGGAGACTTTAATACCCCACTCACAACTATGGATAGATCAACTAAACTGAAAATGAACAAGGAAGCACAAACTTTAAAGGACACAATGGACCAGCTAGACCTAATTGACATCTATAGGACGTTTCACCCCAAAACAATCAACTTCACCTTTTTCTCAAGTGCACACGGAACCTTCTCCAGAATAGATCACATCCTGGGCCATAAATCTAGTCTTGGTAAATTCAAAAAGATTGAAATCATTCCAGTCATCTTTTCTGACCACAGTGCAGTAAGATTAGATCTTAATTACAGGAAAAAAATTATTAAAAATTCAAACATATGGAGGCTAAACAACACGCTTCTGAATAACCAACAAATCATAGAAGAAATCAAAAAAGAAATCAAAATATGCATAGAAATGAATGAAAATGAAAACACAACAACCCAAAACCTATGGGACACTGTAAAGGCAGTGCTAAGGGGAAGATTCATAGCATTACAGGCCTACCTCAAGAAACAAGAAAAAAGTCAAATAAATAACCTAACTCTACACCTAAAGCAACTAGAGGAGGAAGAAATGAAGAACCCCAGGGTTAGTAGAAGGAAAGAAATCTTAAAAATTAGGGCAGAAATAAATGCAAAAGAAACTAAAGAGATCATAGCAAAAATTAACAAAGCTAAAAGCTGGTTTTTTGAAAAAATAAACAAAATTGACAAACCATTAGCAAGACTCATTAAGAAACAAAGGGAGAAGAACCAAATTAACAAAATTAGAAATGAAAATGGAGAGATCACAACAGACAACACCGAAATACAAAGGATCATAAGAGACTACTACCAGCAGCTCTATGCCAATAAAATGGACAACTTGGAAGAAATGGACAAGTTCTTAGAGAAGTATAACTTTCCATAATTCAATAATTTTAAAAGATTGTTTTAGTTACTTTTATTTGTACAGTTTAAAATATTTTGAAAGACTTCAAAAAATAAATATTTTGTTAGACTTCAGAAAGTTTAAAAAAAATATTTACAGATTACTTCCATATTCTCTTCCTCCAGCTCCCTCTGTTAACATCTTTCATAACCGCAGTGTAATTATCAAAAGTAGAAAATCAACATTGATGTGATGCTGCTAACTCATCGACAATCCAGATTTGGACTTTTCTGGTATTTCCCTTTTTTTGTCCCAAGACTCAGTATTTAACACTTTTTTTAATGTAGCTATACTCTTGCATATTTATTTGTAGGGTGACTAGGTCGTTACATTTCCACATTTACTTACCTCCTGTTCCTTTCCTCTGTCACCTGCTTTGGACTGGTTGTTACTAAACACTGGGCTTCCCTGGTGGTGCAGAGGGTAAAGAACTGCCTGCCATACAGGAGACCGGGGTTCGATCCCTGGGTCAGGAAGATCCCCTGGAGAAGGGAACAGCACCCCGCTCCAGTATTCCTGCTGGGAGAATCCCACAGATGGAGGAGCCTGGCTGTAGTCCATGAGGTGCAAGGAGTCAGACACGACTGAGTAGCAATTCCAGTAAACGTTCTGATATTTGCGTCTGTAACGTCATGTTCACTAATGCATGTGATACGCTGTCAGTAAGACAGTTACCTTTTGATTCCGTGATGCAAGCATATCAATGTCTTTTTATCCTTTCCTCCTTTCCATGTATACCTCTCAACTCAATAGTGGTTCTGCTGTGTTAATTTACAGTGTTTACATTCTGTTCTATAGCTATGAGAAAAATCTTTATTTTTACATCTTAAATGGATTAATTGCTCACTGTGAGTCATTGGCTGTACTTTCTGCATTTTTACTGTTTGGCTAAAGCTTATCTCCTAATAGTTAAGTCAGGAAAGCTTCACAGGAATGAGATTCTCCCAGGTTCTTATATGTTTAAAAGTGAAAGTCGCTCAGTTGTGTCTGACTCTTTGTGACCCCATGGACCGTACAGTCCATGGAATTCTGCAGGCCAGAATACTGGAACCTTTCCCTTCTCCAGGGGATCTTCCCAACCCAGGGATCCCACAGGTTCTTAACCAGCTGAGCTATCAGGGAAGATTTGTTTTTGCAACTCCATTGGCTGGCAGTGTGGCCACACCCTCCTGCCCTGAGGGCCCTGTAAGTGGCCCAGTGGTGCACACGTGTCTGTGCCGATGGCCGAGACTGGCTGTACTCTGTCTGCTTTAAGGGTGTTTTGGTGTGCTCCAACATTTGTTGTTCAGTCACTAAGTCGTGTCTGACTCTTTGCAACCCCATGGACTGCAGCTCGCCAGGCTTCCCTGTCCTTCACTATCTCCTGGAGTTTGCTTTAACTCATGTCCATAGAGTCGGTGATGCCATCCAGTCACCTCATCCTCTGTCACCCTCTTCTCCTCCTACCCTCAATCTTTCCCAGCATCAGGATCTTTTCCAGTGAGTTGGCTCTTCTCATCAGGTGGCCAGAGTATCTGGAGCTATTTCTCCACTCTTCCCCAGTATCATATTGGATACCTTTTGACCTGGGTGGGGGGGGGGGTCCATCTTCTGATGCCCTATCTTTTTGCCTTTTCATACTATTCATGAGGTTCTCCTGGCAGGAATACTGGAGTAGGTTGCCATTTTCTCTTCCAATGAACCACGTTTTGTCAGAAATCTCCACCATGACCCATCCATCTTGGATCGCCCTGCAGGGCATGGCTCATCCCTTCATTGAATTACGCAAGCGCCTTCGCCATGACAGATCTATGATCCATGAAGGGGCTGCTCAGACTCAGCATGATAGAATCCCACCATGTTCTCTCAGAGTTCTGGAGGCTTTAGGTCCGAAGTCAAGGTGCCATCAGGGTTGGTGTCTGTCGAGACCTCTCTTCTTGCTGACCTCTCGGTGTCCTCCACGGTCTTCCCTCTGTGCAGGCGTGAAAGGGAGCTCTCTGTTGTGACTTCCTTTTCTTGCAAGGACATTAATCCTGTGGAATTAGGGCTCCTCCATGACCTCACGTAGCCCTGTTCCCTCCCTAGAGGCTTCGTTTCCAGATGCATTCACATGAGGGTTGGGGCTTCAACATAGGAATTCTGGGAGACACAGCTCAGTCTATAACAAAATGTAACATGGAATTTTTTGCCTAAAGGACCAGAGAATTTTTATTTATTTTTTCTTTCTTTGTTTTTTTTGCAGCTTAACTATATGATGTATATCCGTATTTATTGACATGGAAAAGTGTTCACAACATACTGCTGAATGACAAAAAGCAGGTTTATTCTTTTTCTGTTTCTGTAATCCTGTTTACTTCCTCCTCTTTGGTAGTGGTTGTTATTTTAAAACAGATATTTGAATTTTCTGAAATGTCTTTACCATGATTTTCACCTGCTTAGTTTTTTTCTGGGTAAATGTTTTTTGGTCTTTGGTTCGTTTTTCCTGTTGCTTCTCTGTCTTCCCTCCCTTTCTCTTGCGGTGTTTGTATACGGTCTTTGGCTGGTCTCTTTGAGTTCCTTCCTCATCCTGGAATGAGGGGAGTTCTTCTGGGCAGCTGTGCGTGTGAGTTTGGGCCGGGCGCGGGTGAAGCGGGTCTGGGCGAAGCTGCTGCTGCGTGGGTCTTTCTGCTCGCCGCCAAGGGCAGAGCTGCCCCCTCTGACCTTGCGGCCGGTGCTGTCAGGGCGGCTGGGGCTCGGGGAGGGGGGCTTTTCCGCTCTTCTCTGCTCAGACTGAGCTTGTTCCACGCGGGGGCGCCCTGCTTCGGCTCTTCTGTGGGGACCAGCGTGGCTGGCCTGCGATCTGGAGTCAGTGGTCCCCGCTTCTTCGTATCCTCTCTTGTCTTGGGGGGTGGGGGGGTGTTACTGCCCTTGGCAGCTTGCCGCAGGTCTCCTCAGCTTCAGGATGTGTGGGTGCTGCCTTATCGAAGGTAGTTTCCTTTTCTGTGTCTGGTTCTTGTTTTGGGGTTGGCTAGTAAGAGCAGGAGTATTAAGAGAGGTCTTTGCTCTGCTGTGTGTGTGCTCCTAAGCCAACCTGTAAGACCGTTTCTTAAAGTGCAGATTTCTTTAGCGTACTCCCTGGGTGTGCCCTACCTGTGAAATTAGGAAATGGTTATCAGGCTTTTACGGTAACTTTCTTACGATTCTGTTGTAGTGACATGAAGTTTCAGTGAACGCTACATATAGTGAATGTTTTCTTACAGACAGAACCGCCACTGAATACACCAGAAAACCGAGAGTATCTCGCGGAAATTATGTTTGAATCGTTCAACGTCCCAGGACTCTACATTGCGGTTCAGGTAAAAGCAGAGAGGTTTTTATGATTCTCAGGTATCCGCGGCTGTCTCAGAGTGGAGGTGATCCTGAAGGCCCCTGTTGTCAGAGTGCCGCGCATTCTTCCTTTTCTGCACCCTCCACACACACACGCGCCCACATATACAAACCGACAGATTGAAACACACACATACAAACACACACACGGTGTTTGGGTTTGAACTCAAACGCTGTGCGAACATGTTCTGTGATCTGTGTTTTTATTGCTGGTATGGAGTTGTCCAGCTTTTGTCTTTTCACATGCATTAGCATCTCAGGTATTCTTTGTGACAGACTCGAGACAATGGTCCTTTTTTGGCTTCTTCCACTTCTGATCATAAAAAGGAAAAGATGCTCTAGAATCTGCTGAAAAACAAAACAAGGGCCTCTGGAGGCCCCTTTGGGATTTGGGCTCCATGAGCTTGCAGAAGCTAATTGTTCATAGTGTGGGGTTTTCCTTGGTTTTGGTTGTTGTTATTTATCTGCCACTCTTATATAAAGAAACTGACTGAGATTTTTGGGAATAAATTTTTAAAAAGTGTCTTCCAAAATATTTTCTGCATACTCTGGTTCTTCACTTCTGAGAAAAAGGAGGAGGAGTTACATGGAAAATTAATCTTGGAGATAGCACATGCCATGGCCTCTGGTGGTTCTCACCAGCTTTTCTTTGCAAGACTCTGGTTTATTTTGCGGAAAGCTTGACTCCTCAGGTGATGCCTATAGAATTTGCATGTTAGTCCAAATTAGGGTTTGAATTCTGGGGGGAAGATGGAGGGTGGGGAAGGGAAGAAGTTACTCAGGCTTGTTGAGTAAGAGAAGGCTTGACTGACCTGAGAACCTCGGGTCCTTGGGAAGCGTCTCCCCGAGGCTCACGGCCTCCGTGTCTCCCGTGCAGGCAGTGCTGGCCCTGGCCGCCTCGTGGACATCGCGACAGGTGGGCGAACGCACGTTAACGGGGATCGTCATCGACAGCGGGGACGGGGTCACCCATGCCATCCCAGTGGTAAGCAGCATATTCAGGGCTTCACTCTGCGGTCCTCACCCGATCTGAGGTGAGGGAAGAGACGAAGGGAAAACACCCTTCTGTACTTAAGACACCACTTTAGAAGACATGGCTGTACTCAGCAAAGGTAACAGTTTTAAACCCAGGACTGTGAGAAAGAAGACGACGCCCAGTGTCTGGTGCTGGCGGTCTGAGATTCTCAGTGGGGGGTTCCTGCAGTCAGAGTGTCAGCAGTGGTTTGGGGTCTCCTGGGCTCCACGTGATCCTGGGGTACATCACCAGGGGGTCTTCCTGGCTCACGTTCTGAGCTGTCCGCTTGGGTATCAGTAGCTCAGGATGACCTCTTTGCTCTGTGACAAGAGGTGGGTAGCTCTAGGTGTGACCCAGCTCTTGCTTTAGAGGAATTGCTTCTTGCTTCTTATTTAAGAGCCAAGAAAGGGAGATTCCCTGGTGGTTCAGATGGTAAAGGACCTATCTGCAGTGCAGGAGACCGAGGTTTGATCCCTGGGTTGGAAAGATTCCCTGGAGAATGGAACGGCATCACACTCCAGTATTTTTGCTTGCAGAATCCCACGGGCAGAGGAAATACAGTCCATAGAGTTGCAGAGTTGGGCATGACTGATTTTCACTTTCAAGGGAGGATTGTTTGTTTTGGCCTGCAGAATACCCTGCAATGTTATTTTTTGGTTTTAGATTTCAGAGTATTAGAGAAGTGATTTCTTAATTCAGTCTTCAAGAGACAGTATCTGTTTTTTCTTTCCATCCAGTGGATTAAGTTAACTGTTTGAAAGTGAAAGTCACTTAGTCGTGTCCAACTCTGTGACCCGCATTGACTATACAGTCCATAGAATTCTCCAGGCCAGAATACTGGAGTGGGTATCTGTTCCCTTCTCCAAGGGGGATCTTGCCGACCCAGGGATTGAACCCAGGTCTCCCGCATTGCAGGCAGTTCTTTACCAGCTGAACCACCAGGGAAGCAAATATTTCGTTTGCTTTTTTAAAGATGAGTCGAAGCTGCCTGCAGGGGGCGCACTGTGGACAGTCAGACCCCCTCCTCTTCCTCCTCTTCCTCCTCTTCCTCCTCCAGACTCAGATTCAACCCTGTTACTAGTTATCAATGGTTACTGCAAGTGTGTTTTCTGCATATATGGGTGTGTGTGTGTGTGTGTAACTCATTTTAAAAATGCAAACTGGGTGGTGGTGGTTGTTTTTTTAAAGCAATTCATTTAATTGAAAAAATAGTCACCATTTTATTTCAGGCAGTCGAGGAGTGATATACTGACATGCTCAGGCTTTAATTCCTGGGAGGCCAGTGTTCACTGCCGGGGAAAGTTCCTGTGTCCACAGTCAGGAGGATAAAGCCACATTCCTCCCCCCTGCCCCCCTGCCAGCATGCCGCCCGCCCTGGGGGGTGAGAGACAGGGCAGAGCCTTCTCTGTGCCGGCGGAGCGCCCTCCGCTGGGGCCTGAGCCCTCCCCGCTCTTGAGGGCCATGCCCAGCGTTGGAGGCCCTTGCGGTTACTGCTGAGGGCTGGCCTCTGTGCTGAGGTCATGCCCTCAGAGGCAGGGCAGACCTGGGTCTGGGCGGCGCCCTGCTGTTTGCCTCCCTCTTGCATCTGGTTGAGGAGGAGAAAAGAAAAATTCTACTTGGTGTTCAGGCCCACAGGGAAAGCTGCTGTTCAGCTTTTTATCTGTTTCCTAGTTCCATTATTTTCCTGATTATAAAAATGACATTTGTTGAACAAAATCAGGACAAAATAGAGAAGAAAATAAAAAGACCTGTAATACCCACCAAGAGGACTGCATTATGCTTTTGGTTATATATCTTTTCTAAGCTCTTAAATACATGTGTACATATTTTAAGCGGAATTAGAGTATTCTGTGTCTGAAATTGTACTCTGATTGTACAGTGTAATCCTAAGTTTATATTTGGCATATTGGTTTATCCCTAGTGTATGGTTAAATATTCTGTGAAACAAATAGTCGCTACATAATAGTCCATCCTCTGGGTATAGCATCACTCCTTTATTTTCCTGTTGTTGGTTTGTGGGGTGTTTTAATATATTTAATGCTGTGATGAAGCTGACTGAACACTGGTTGAATTCATTTTAGAAGGTGTTATATATAAAGCATAGATGGTAAAGAATCTGCTGCAGTGTGGGAGACCTGAGTTTGATCCCTATGTCAGGAAGATCCCCTGGAGAAGGGAATAGCAACCCACTCCAGTATTCTTGCCTGGAGAATTCTGTGGACAGAGGAGCCTGGCTGGTTACAAAGACTGGGTGACTAATGCAAGGCACAGAATATAAAAATTGTGAGTGGTTTGTGTCAGAGCTCATATTCTTATGAGTGTTTATGTTGATCTTTTATTATTTTAATAATTGGTTTATATTTTTTATCTTGATCTTAAAATATTTAATAAATGGCTTGGACTTTTTGGAAAGGCCACAGCTTCTCTGCTAGACAGAGTTACATCAGAAGAAACCCCAAGAGGAATTCTTGGGGTTGGTGTATTTAAGAGCTTAGAAAGATATATAACCAAAAGCATAATGCAGGGACTTGTTCCTGCAGCTTAACTGGTGATGGGGTCTGTGCTTACAGTTGTTAGGACTGACACGCCGTAACTCGGAGCCACCTCTGTCCGCTCTGTCTCAGGGGCACGTGGCCCAGGAGACAGGACTTCATGGGAGACTGTGAGGGTCCCTTCTTCACTCGAGGAAGCTGGGGTCAGGCTCCTTGCTGACCGTCAGCTCCTGGAGCGAGCTGGAGGTGCCCAGCCTGGCTTGAGTGGCAGTGGGCGGGGGCGCCGGGCTGCAGCTCCTTGCTGGAACTGGCGGAGGACGGCCCAGCCCCTTCCAGCATGGTCCCCGTGGCAGAGCGCTCAGGGGGCCGACCAGGCATCCGCGAGCAGTGCCGCTCACTGCAGGCGCAGGGGACCGCATCCACGGTCCCTCAGCCCACACCAGTGGAACCGGACTGAGTCCAGGTTGTTGGAACCTGCGTCCTGCCCGATGACCAGCTTGCTGACTTTCTCTAGTTGCTGTAACAGTTATGAATAAAACCTTTTCCTTTTCGTTAGAGGAACAAAAGGAGGATTCATCCGTTGTTCTGACAGGCAGCCATACTTTCTGGAAATGACTGTTTTACAGGGTTTTCTCTTCACATTCTTGACGAGAATGTCAGGTTCTGCTAAGGGAACTGCGCTTGCTTCCAGGCCCGAGCGAGCCCTCCGCAGCAGAGTGTGGCCGCAGGAAACGCCATGGTGTCCGGCGGGCCGGGGCTGGGGCAGGGCTGACTCGGCGCCGGGAGCCCGTGTCTCCTGGACTCACTTACAGGCCTCCCCTCCTCTCCTTCCCCAGGCAGAAGGCTACGTGATTGGGAGCTGCATCAAGCACATCCCCATCGCAGGGCGGGATATCACCTATTTCATCCAGCAGCTGCTGCGGGAGCGGGAGGCGGGGATCCCCCCGGAGCAGTCGCTGGAGACCGCCAAAGCCATCAAGGTAGAGACAGCCGGGGGCAGGCCGGTCTGGGGGCAGAGAAATGGTGTGTGGAGGCTTCCCTTGCTGCCACCGCCTCCCTGCCCCTGGCTTCATTGTCCTTCCTGCTCCCGCCCCGAGAACGTGGGTCTCCATCCGTTTATGCTTGCAGGGGTGCCCGCTGTTAATGAGAGCAGCTTGGTGGCTGGGGTTGAGCACCGGCCCCAGTCAGCAGCGTTTCAAGGAGCCTAACTGTTAGAACTTCAGTTAGCTGGGCGTGTCTGCCTCCCCTCCCTCCAAGTTCATCTCTAGCTTCGGGAGCAGCAGCAGCAGCAGTGATATCAGGGGTCTGGTGAAGTCAGCGTGTTCAGACGCATTTCTAGCACCTGTAGAGTGTGGTTCTGGGCCCTGTGAATTATAGTGCAGAGTAATGCTGTTCCAGGATGGGGTCATTGATCAGAACCCCCCACCCCGCCCCCTGTCGTTTCTAGACTGGAATGACCATGCTGGAAAGGTTAGAGGGTTTTAAGATCAAATCAGTAAGATGAGAAGAAAAACATCTTACCAGTCCTTTCTAAAAGTGCCCGCTTGACCCGGCCCATCAGTCTGGTCTTTGTGTTTCTCTGTATGTAGCAGCTGACAGACCCTTTTTAAAGGAGCTTTCTTTTCAGGTTGAAAATCAGGACAGATTACTGAAGATCAGGACACATTACTGTTTTTCACTTTAGCCAAAATGCAAGAGAGTCTTCATAACACAAGGGTGATTATTATATAGATGAAGAGCAAGGCTTTCGTTGTTTAAGGAGAAGCATTTAAGTGTGGGCGTGACAGGGGGCCTTGGGCATCCCCCCTTCTCATAGAGCACACAGCGTCTGAACCTCGGGGGCTTTAGCTTCCCCCGCCTGCCCCCCACTAAGCACCCAGTGAGGGGCTTGAAGGAAAGGGAGCATGGGGCATGCCCTTGATTCCCCGCCCTCAGTGAGCACAGGTGTTCTGGGGCTGGGGCTCCTGCGAGGAGGGGCCCCCGCTGCCCTGGGTGTCCAGGACGGGAGCTTCCAGGGAGGGGGCGCCTCAGAGCCAAGCTTGCAGCCCCGGCCCAGACCCAGATCTGCCCTCTCCCCCTGGGAAGGTCACGGGAGCATCCTTTTAGACTGAAACCTCCCCCATTTGCCTTCCCTTCCTTGCCTTTCTTTTCGTCTCCTCCCCGCCCCGCCCTTTCTGACCGGCCCTCGGGGTGGACATGGGGGAGCGGAGCCCTGAGCGGTGACCGAGGGGCTGCTTTCCAGGTCCCCGTGGTAGCCTTTCCTCTGTCGCGGGCTCTCTGGGGCCCGGTGGTGACTCTGAACCTGGATCTGGTGCATTCAGGCCGCTCAGTGTGTGGCTCAGCTCTGAGGTGGGGGGTGAGAGAGACCCCTGTCCCTTCAGCCAGCTGCCCGGCCTGCGGTTAGTCCTCCCCTCACTCCCCTGAGACCAGGGCGGGGGCGTCCTGGAAAGGTGGTGGAGCCCCTGCACCCCACAGGGGTGGTTTCTGCCGGCCTGAGGCTGGTGGGCCTGGCACTCACGGTCCTGGCAGCCCACGTTGCCCACAGGAAGCTTATTTCAGGATCTGGTACCCAAGAGCCACCTGCTGCTCTGCTGAGGTCAGCTCTCAGGACAGGTGATGGACTAGAGATCCCCAGGGGGGCATCAGCAGATGCCACGTCTCAGGCTGGTGCTGGTGCTGGGGTGAAAACCAGGAGCAGGTTCTCAGGCCGCAGTGCACGGCTGCTCCGTCCTGCCTGTCGGCCTCTTCTGTCCATGGTGCCTGGCACCTTATACTGTGCCCTATCATCTGCTTATTCGTCAATGGCCGTTGCTTACGCTCCTGACTCTCCGCTGGAGTGTGTGCTCCAGCGGGCAGGGGTGTGTTTTTGTTGTGAGTCCTGTGTGTCCGTTTCGTGGAGCTGGTGGCCGTGCCGTGTCAGACTGCACAGCAGGTTCACGACCCGTGGTCACCCGTGTCCGGCATGGGGTAGAGTCGGCTGCGTTCTGCGTGGGGCTGCAGCGCAGGTTTGCTGGTCCTGGTGGACAGCCGCGAGTGCCCGGGCAGGCGCCGCGTGGGGCCACGAGGAATAAGGAGACCGCAGGTGGAGACAGGATACTTAGTGCATGCTGTCAGACAGTACTTCAGCTGATGAGCAGCAGAATATGACAGGGGAAGGCTGAGATTAATAAGCCGAGTTACAAAGCAAGCACGTTCACTCACAGTCCAGAGTGAAGTCATGAGAAGTCTGTGAGGCTTGACCATGTCCGCACTGGAGTGGTGATGAGCGGGCAGAACTGGTTTTGGGGTGTCCAGGGCTGGAGGTTACTGGGTCTCGGTCAGAGGCAGACCCTGGTGACTTCTGTGTGTGTGTATCTGCAGGAGAAATACTGCTACATCTGCCCTGACATAGTCAAAGAGTTCGCCAAGTACGACGTGGATCCTCGGAAGTGGATCAAACAGTACACGGGGATCAACGCCATCAACCAGAAGAAGTTCGTCATAGATGTCGGCTACGAAAGGTTCCTGGGCCCTGAGATTTTCTTTCACCCAGAGGTAAAGCTGCGGGCTTTTTGAGAGTGACGTCCGTCGCGTGTGGTGGAGCGATGCTGCCCCCTGGTGTACGTGGGCAGCAGTCCTCGGGCCGCCTTCCCGTGAGGACCGCTGGGCGCCCGCTGTACGCCCTGCAGCTAGCCATCACCCTGTGTGATCACCTGCTTGACTGTTGCCCTCTTTAGACCTGGGTTTCTGTTAAAAAACAGCTAACGAGTGATTAGGAAGACGCTTTGAGAGCAGTAGAGGGTAATGGAAATGGAGTGGCTCTCATAGTAACTGGAAAACTGATTAATCCTGGCAGACCATCAGTGTGGGCGCAGGAGGGCACATGACCTTCCCATTCTTTGTGACGGCCCGTCCCAACTCCAGTTCTGAACCCTGGATGGTGGGTCCTGCCGTGTTTCCTGCTGCAAGTTAGTCAGAGCTCCTGTCTGAGCAGCAGCCTTTCCGTCAGTTAGACGGGCTTTAGGAGGTACAGGCCTCACCGTGTTAACTATGGTCACAGAGAGTTATTACTCTTACAGATAAAGTAATGAAGGGGCAACATTTTAAGGTTTAAATAAAATGGGTTGTATTTGTGTTTTGGTTTATTTTTCTAATTCAGCTTGCATTTGCTAGGTAGGTTACACGCTGCTGCCTGTTTCCAGGTATGTGTGAGCTTTTGTGCAGGGAGATGGCTCACAGTGTTGCCTCGCCACAATCTAACACTCACTCGTGCCCTCTGATATTATAGATTAAAACAGACGTAAAACCAACCATGACCAGTGAACAGCACCCGGTGAGCACCCGGATGTTACCTTCTTGAGTCCGTTAAAGGTGTCCTTGATTTTTAAAGCATAGTTCAAATTTTAAAAATCAAATTCTTTTACACTTTACCTTATTTGACTTACAGCACTGAAGACTGTTTAGTCAGTGATGTGACCGTCACCGTGTTGTTTCATTTAAAAGCCGCCCCCCGAACTGTCCCCTCTTGCACCCCCAACCAGGTTTCTGGCTCAGGTTTACAGTGTGATTGTTCATTGGCTGTGTTTTCTCTTGCATCCTGGCTAATTTTTACATGACATTAATACTCATAAGTGATACACTTGTTCTATACCCACAGTGTTTCCATAACATCACACACACGTGATTTACAGCCTCAGACAGCAGCATTCCTGGTGTGTCCTGACGCAGGGTTGGGCGCTCTTGGCTCCTGTGTGATGTTTTCCCCTCACTGAGCCCACACATGTTGCCGGGACGTGTCACCATCACCCCATGCACACTCACTCGGGTTCGCTTGACATACTAACATTTGACGTGGTCATTCCAGCCTGATGGCTTTAAAAGTTACAGTACATTCTGTATTTATTAAAGTCACTTAAAAAAAATTATTGAGAGAAGTATGTAATGTTTCTTTTATATTTGTACAAAATTCAGTTTGCCAACCCGGATTTCATGGAGTCCATCTCGGAGGTGGTTGATGAAGTCATACAGAACTGCCCCATCGACGTTCGCCGTCCGCTGTATAAGGTATAAGCTGCTTGGATGAGGTGCCTGGGTTTCATCCCACAGTCTAAGGCCCAGCATTCTTAGAAGAATAGGTTCTTAACATCAGTGTGCAGTCGTTCCTGTCTCACCCTGGTCTTGTAGGATTTGTTAAAGGCCAGCATACTGGTGAAATGTTCTTCTTGGACTGGCTGTGATGTAAATGTTTGGAAATAGGGCTCAGTTAACCAGAAGTCTTTTAAGTATTCTTGTATCTTTATTCTTATCTGGTCAGCTGTATTTTAAATTGGACAATTTTAACCCTGCATAGTGACCGAAAGATAAAGGCAGCCCTTCCCCGCCTGCTCTCCATGAATTCGCTGGTCTTGCTTCATGCATGTTTAGGTTTGCACCACATGCGCTGTTGCCGGAAGGAAGTCAGATCCTGAATGAAGCATCAGGTGGAAGATACCCATGTAATAATGTTTTCCAAAATTCTGTGTGACTAGGGAGTTTTGAAACCTGAGATGAGAAAAGGCTAGTCTGTGTATTTACAGCATAAAAGATGCGGCTGACAGCTGGATGTTGAGAGCAGGAAGTGGCGGTCAGCTGGCCCTCCTTCACCCGTGGCTGCCCTCTGCCTCGTGCTCTCAGCCCGCAGCCTCTGCCGAGTCTGACCTTCTCAGCTCGGGGAGCTGAGCTTAGAGGGGACCATCAGGCCCAGCAGTGAGGGCATACACAGTAGAGTCCTGTGCAGTCTTCAAAAAGAATGAGGTGAATCAATGTAAATTCAAATGAAGAGATGTTATAGTACATGTTAAGTGAAAAGGCAAATTGTAAAACTTATATATACTATTATTTGATTTAATTTAAAATGTAGTTTGTGTATGTTATATACATACATACATATATATTTGAAAAGGTTTTGAATGATATATGCCAAACTCAAAGAAAATAAAATATCTTTGGGGTTTGGAGATGGATAAATTTTACTTTCTACTTTTTGTGTTTTAAAATTATTTGAAATTTTATAGTTAACAAATATTATTTTTATTATAGGAACATTTTCCTATGTAGACAACTTTTTATGGGTGAAAACAAATTATAATTTGGTTTTTATAGTTCAGTTCAGTTCAGTCGCTCAGTCATGTCCGACTATTTGCGACCCCATGGACTGCAGCACGCCAGGCTTCCCTGTCCATCACCCACTCCCAGAGCTTATCAAACTCATTTCCGTTGAGTCCAACCATCTCATTCTCTGTTGTCATAAGTGATACACCACAGTTCAAAAGCATCAATACTTCAGTGCTCAGCTTTCTCTATGGTTCAACTCTCACATCCATGCATGACTACTGGAAAAACGATAGCTTTGACTAGACTTTGTCGGCAAAGTAATGTCTCTGCTTTTTAATATGCCATCTAGGTTGGTCATAGCTTTTCTTCAAAAGAGCAAGCGTCTTTCAGTTTCATCACTGCAGTCACCATCTGCAGTGATCTTGGAGCCCAAGAAAATAAAGTCTCTGTTTTCACTGTTTCACCATCTATTTGCCATGAATTGATGGGACCAGATGCCATGGTCTTCTTTTTTAGAATGTTGAGTTTTAAGCCAGCTTTTTCACTCTCCTCTTTCACTGTCATCAAGTGGCTCTTTAGTTCCTCTTCGCTTTCTGCCATAAGGGTGGTGTCATCTGCATATCTGAGGCTATTGATATTTCTCCCAGCAATCCTGATTCCAGCTTGTGCTTCATCCAGCCCAGCATTTTGCATGATGTACTCTGCACGGAAGTTAAATAAGCAAGGTAACAATATACAGCCTTGATGTACTCCTTTCCCAGCTTGGAACCAGTCCACTGTTCCATGTCTAGTTTTAACTGTTGCTTCTTGACCTGCATACAGATTTCTCAGGAGGCAGAACAATTATGCTAAAAAAATTCTTGCACTGTTAAGAAAGTCCTAGGACCCACAACAGATTTCCCAACCTGGGGATTCGGCAAAGGGACTGAGAACCCTCAGGGAATTTGACTTTCGAGGCCAGTGGGATTTGATTTTTATTGTTACATGTGCTTAATTAAACATCTCTCCTCCAATAAAATGTGCAAGAAAGGGAAACTAGGGACAGAGGAGAGTATTAAAGTTTAGTAAAATTCATGCTTTGTTCTGTTTACTTCTTAAATCTCACCTGACATTAGCTGTGTCTTGTCCGTGAAAACATGGAACAGTTGTGCTCTCTTTAGTCTCCATTTCATTGTAATGGAAACGAAGGTTCATGATGGGGTGAGATTTTTCTCATTAGACCGCTGAGTTCACTTTCAGTAGCATTATAGGAAGTAGAGATGGCCTGGTAGCCTGAGCTCCTTACTTAATAGAGGACGACCCTCAGCCCCAGAACTAGATGGGCCTAGGGGAAATGGAGCGATTGGTCTTGGACTTGTAGTTATAAAATACTGGCTATGCTCCCCGAGTTGTCCGGTATGTCTTTGCAGTTTATTTATTTCGTGCAGAACAGTTCGTACCCCTCAGTGCCCTACTCGCATCTGGCCTCTCCCCCGATCCTACTGGTAACCGCTGATTGTTCTCCATGAAAAGGGAAGGTTGCTTAGTTGTGTCCGACTCTTTGGGACGCCACGCACTATTCATTCCATGGACTTTTCCAGGCCAGAATACTGCAGTGGGTAGCTGTTCTCTTCTCCAGGGGTGTCAGGGAGTGTTTGACGGGAGGATTCCTACGTGCTGTCTCTCATGAGTCCTTTGTTCCTCTTCAAGCGGAGCAGCACGCTGCTCCCGGGGAATGAGGCCATTGTGTGAGGCGGGCTTGGGTCTCCTTTGGTAAACATTCTCTTTACAACAAAACTGCTTAGTCTCGCTCCCCTTTCTGGAGATATGGATTGTCTCCTGACCTTGTGACTATTATTACCCCTTGTTCCCTTGGTAACGGTTGCTGTACGTTTGGTTTTCTGATCTCTATCATTGCCGAAAGAAATTTCTTGTACCACAGCCTATATATACTGGTAGAAAAGTCATTAAAGCACCTGTGCTCCATCAGATCTTAGGTCCCTGTGTCTTTTTTGTTTCTCTTTCTCTCCTCTCTCTCTCTGGCTGATTCTCTGGAGCGTGGAGACCCGTCGTGCCACTTTCCTGCCCGGACTTCTAAGACCCTCTCGAGAAGGCACTTTGTGCCTTCACCCCTTCGAGGGGGCGCCTGGTGCCCTCGTGAGCGATGCAAGTCCTGTGTCAAGGGCTTTATTGGTCCTCTGCGTAAACCAGGGAATATCAGCCTCTTTCTCTCTCTTACTTTCTTATCGTCGACTCCGTACCACCAGGTTCCGGTCCATTAAAGGACCTCAGCACAGGGGATCTTCCCAACCCAGAGATTGAACCCAGGTCTCCCGCATTGCAAGAGGATTCTTTACCAGCTGAGCCACCAGGGAAGCAGATTGTTCTTTATAGCTGTGTCTTATTTCTTTTTTGTATGTTCATTCATTTCTTTTTTATATTCCATATATGTGATATCATACAGTGTTTTTTTCTGCCTTATCCCTCTAGCTTAATGCCCTCCAGGTCCATCCATGTTGCTGCAAATGGCATTATTTCATTCATTTTATGTCTGAGTAACATTTCATTGTATATATGTACCACATCTTCTTTATCCATTCATCTGTTGATGGGCACTTAAGATTGCTTCCACATCTTGGCAGTTATAAATAATGTTGTGAACATAGGGGTGCTTGTATGTTTTGAGTTACTGTGGTTTTCAGGCTTCTCTATCCCTGAGACCGTGGCCCCCACTGGCCACTGCTCTGCCTGTTGTCTCTGGAGGCCGTCACCCCGGGTTACAGGCCCTTGGGCGGGCAGCCTTGTTCTTCAGATTCACTTTGTACTTGTGGTCCCACTTCTATGGTGAGCTCCTCCTCGTGAGCGTGGACGTGAGCTTGCTATGGACCGAACCTTCCACCGTGACGTCTGTGTTCATGAAATGCATGGATGTACGGTCGGTGGGATTTTACAAGTAACTCTAAGGCCCTCTTCTGGTTAGAGACATGGTACATACAAGTGCTTCTGCAGAACACACGGGCATCTTGCTCCAGAGCGCTGAGTGGGCATGTCTTTGGGATCATGTCTTTCTCTCCAGTCTTACTGTCATTCTCTTCTCTGTTGCTGATGCTTCTTCCTGCCTGCTGGGCCCTCTCTTGTCAGTGTCCCAGGCACCTGCCTTGGGGCTTCCAAAGTGCTCAGTAAACCATCCAGGAAGTGGGAAGCAGGTTTTCACCCACACAAGCTCACGATTGCTGTCTGCTGAGCCCTGTTGAGTTACCCACTCAGGCACGAGGCCCTGCAGTAGGCTGGGTTCCTGACTTCTACCTTCATGCACAGTCCCTCCAGTCCCCACATGCTCAGACGGGCAGCTCTGGTGGTAGAGAGGGCTATAGGGGAACCTGCAGGGAAGGCTCTGAGGCAGCTCCCTGGGGCCCTGAGGCCTGCCCTTGGCTTCAGAGGAAGGTGTCTCACCTTTGCCTCACCTGCTTCCAAGGCACCGCCTGGATTAGTAGGGCCAGGATTCCTTGTGTTTCCCAGGCCCAGTTGTGGAAACTGTAGGGGAAGTGTTGTATGGTGAAGTGAGCAGAAGGCTTATTGTAGGCCCTACCGAAAGCACCTGAGACCTCCTCGGGCCTTGAGTTGACACCTTCCTCAAGCTAGTAGTCAAGAAAAAGAAGTTGGTAGAGAATACAATGTAGCTTTGAAAACTGAGAATCTGCAAAAGCCAAACAATTGTTTTAGACAAAAGGAGTAGTAATCTAATTTTTATTTCATTCTGGCCTGTAGATAAGAAGGTTATTCATGGGACTTTCCTGGTGGTCCAGTGGATAAGAATCTGCCTGCCAATTCAAGGGACATAGGTTCCATCCCTGGTCCAAGATTCCACATGCCACAGAGCAACTAGGCCCATGCCCCACAACTACTGAGCCTGTGAGCCGCAACTACCGAGCCCTTGCTCCACAACAAGGGAAGCCATCGTGGTGAGACGCCCACACACTGCAGTGAAGACT